AGGGACATAGCAAGATTTTGTGATTAAAACTCAATAACATTACATTTGGACTGTGAACAATCAATGATATAAGTACACACGATGGGGAGGACCCAAGCCCTAAAATGCTGAGGCAGGCGAGGTAATAAAATTTAAACTTTAAACAGGAATCCAGAAACCAAGCATGAGGAACAACACACAGGGAGCACAAACAGAAAAACAGCTTGGAGCAGGGCAAAGGTGATGAGACAATAAAGATTGAATAAAAAAGGAGGGGTAAAAGCCAGAAGTGAAACTAAAACAAGGCACAGGAGGAAAAAGTAAAGCGGGACTAGTACGCCAAGACTAGTACTAAACCGAATAGGGGGAACATGGATTGACAAATCTACTTATGCACGGAGGAACTCAAGACAGGGAATAACGAGGAGAGCAGAAACACCAGAAGCATCATCAGAAGAGGAACCAACATTTAAAAAAAGAAATCACACTTTAAAGCAGAAAACAGTATCTGGAGACTGGCTGGTTTATTTAAGTGCCCAGTCACCCAGACTGCATCAATGACCAGACTGTTATGTTTAAACTTGTAAACTTTTATTGATTTTGACAATCATTTCTCACAGAGCAAACTGTTCTTTCGTTCAAGATACAGTTAGTTGTTTCTTGAGATTACATGATAGATGAAAGGGTGTTGTACCTACAGATATACTTCATCCTACAGATTGATTAGTGTGTAATTATATCATACAACAAATTATTAATTATATATTCTCATAAACTATGAGAACATAAACTGTATCTATGAAGTGCCTTGAGGCGACTTTTGTTGTGATTTGGCGCCATATAAATAAAATTGAATTGAATTGAATAAACTTAGAGTTAAACCAATAAAAATACATAGTGGGAGGTTTCTGTAAGCTCCCACATTGCTGCCTTCTCCATTCTGCCTAATCACACTTTATGTATGTGGCTGAAGATCAAACACAGACATAGCACGCCAAAGGCGGAGGATATAAAAAGTCTTTGGCATTCATGTTCAGGAGAGGCAAATTTTAATTAATGCCTGCACCTTCAATCTCAAGATACAGTCCTGATCAAAAGTTTAAAATGTTTTGTCTCACTCCAATTTCTTCTTGAGGCACATTGAAGCGCTACTTGGAACCTTGTTAAGATCCAACAATGCAAAATATGATTTCTTTTTTTTAACCATTTTTCAAATGGTCTTAAACTTTTGATCGGGACTGTATATGAGTATCTGTATCACAATAAGGACTGTTTATTTTTAAAAATGACTGAACAGTGAGTGCTTCAGATGATGTTACTAACAGCAAGGTAGATAGCTTCATGGACATACAATTGCAGTGGTGGTTAAATTAATAGTTTGAACACACCTATCCCTTTACTCTCTCATCTTGACCCTCCCAGTGCGATGAGATGATGCTAGATTCCATCCTGGAAAACCAAAAGAAAAATAAAAGGCCCTCTTGACTCACTGTTCACATGCTGTCTCCATAGGAATCTTATGGTAAAGCAGACACACCTTGATCTCTCTGCTGCAATGCTGTTAAGCCAGACATTACCTCAAGAGCCATTCACTGCACTTTGCCTGTATCCCTTGCTTCCCTACCCTTTCTATTCATCTTGCTTTTCTTCTAAGACTAATACACACCTCTTCTCTTCTTTATCTTCAAAGCCCATTGCAGCCCATTTCATTCTGAAATAAAGGGGCTAAATGAGGCTTCTTTAGCAGAAAACACCCTCAGGGCTCACCTTTCTTTGGTAACGAAGGGAGTGGTCATCCTTAGTTACACAGCCTGGCTGCAGGAAGCTGCTTCTCTGGCTTTGAACCAAAGAGATTTAAGCATCAGGGCAAGTCGCACGCATCAGCTACACTTGTTTGTGTTTATTTAGACATGTTCTTGTCTGCATAGCTGTGGCAGATAATAGCTATAAATCAAACATCTGGTTTTTTAACTGAATTTTGAGGTTTGTTGCACTTCTACTCTGCTACATGTCAGATAAAAATATTATACTCTTTATATTGTCTTTTAGGTCTGTCGCCATACTGGATTTACTTGTCGCTTTTAAGATTCTGATTACATTAAACTATGGGAAAAAAAGATGTTGAAATAAAATAAAATAAAAGTTTAAAACTATTTCCCTAAACCCTTCAAAATATTTTCCATCCATCGTCTTCACTTCAACAGAAACCATAGTTCCTTGAAAAGCCACTTGAGGCTGGCTCCAATCTCACTTCCCAGAGATTCCAAAGGAACCTCCAGAGCTGAAAACTTAAGCCAGTACAGAAGGGCCACTACAGCAGTTTCGCACCAAAAGGGTGTCAGTCCCAGTTCATACAATAGATTAGAGCCCTGCACTGGGACCAGACGGTTAAAAATAGACAGCATGTCCCGAGATTGTTAGCTGGGTGGAGAGTATAACTGATCTTACTAATTATGTGATATTACTATGTGTTAATATGCAAGAGGTCCGCCCCCTAGTGTCAGATCTCTCATATGACTCTGCGGCTCAGCTCATCTTAACACAGCAGTGTTTTTGCCAAAGCACGCTGCTGTTTGCAATTAAAATGCTTCTTACGTTCACCAAACAGCAGCTTCTTTATAGAAAAGCTAATGAAGATGTGGAATATTTAGCATCTAAATATCCAGATGTTTTCCTCCAGAATCACAAAGAAGCTTAAAAAAATAGTGAATAATAGACTGAATTCAACAGATGGCCAGAAATCTGGCTGCAGATTTCTCATATTTTGAGATTGTTTTACCTTCCCACAAATGGCCAAAATAAAATTCATTCAGACACAATATTAAACAGCTTTTTAGAATTTAAGGAAAGAAAAGACGGTGAAAAGATTCAAATTGAAGGTTAACTGATTAGGGTTTTTTTTTTCCTAATCAGCTTGTGAGATAAAATTCAACACTCCATAAGAAGATTACATTTGCGTATTAGGTAGGAAAAGTCTGCCCAATAGAACATTATTTTTATTTTGATATTTTATGTTTCTTAACCATGATTCTAAATCACCCATGAATGTTAGCAAGAACGGTTACATGTCCACATGGTACTCTGCCCTACGGCAAATGTTGATTGAACTTCCTGACAATTCTGCATTAGCTGCAAACTTCCCCCAAAAAACTAATGGATGGAAAATAACCCTTGCTTGCACCTATAATATAGTCACCCAGAAGCTATTAAACAGGATTTTATTAAAGGACTAGGAATTAAAAAGGGTGCATTTGATACCAACATCAGTTGCTCAGTCAGCAAGCACATGGTGTATCAGTACTGGATGTACAAATTGGTTTTCTGGATGACACGATGCTGGCATCTCCCATCAGCGCAGATGTTGGTTTCTATCAAATACAGATGCCTCCTTTCTTCTCTTTTGTTTCCTGTGCACTCCTCTCTTTGGTTGCACTTGCATGCGTAGCAAATGGTTTTGGTTGATGCCTTGGGAGAAATTACATTAAATGGTGTCAGAGCGCGGAGTCTCTGATGTAGGAGTCGTGAGGGTTTACTGCTGTGCTACCGCTGCTCACAGAACACAATCACAAAACAAACTGTTCCAGACCGGCAGCAGAAAATGTTTTGAGCAGTCTGAAAGTCTGCATTGCTGCTAATGACCGACTGTCTTCTCCTCTTTTGCTGTGAACACTCGCAGGCTCATGCTTAAAGGGGTGAAGAAAGGACACCTGCACTGCAAAATGGAGCTTCAGTTTTGTTTGTTTTTTTTGCATGACTAGTTCATTCAAATGACAGAATACTTATTTAGTTTGTTGGTAATTATATCTTATCTCTGCAAAAGGGAAGAAAAACATTACTAAATATTCTGATAGCATTTTCTGGTCCATGAGTTCATTAACCCTTTCAGGCCTTTAAAGGCAATGAAGCAAAACACCTAGATCAGAACTGAGCTCCTGGACAGTCTGAGGTTCAACCTGCAGCGTTGAATGGACCAAAACATAAAGTCCTAGAGGTGTTCTAGAACATTTAGGTTAGGTAAGTGTGAAGTGTCAATGATATCAATTGATCCTGGTACCTAATGGCATTCAGAGTCCTGTTGTCTAGGTTGAGCCTGTTGAGGTCATGGATATGCCTCCACAGACCATCACTGACCCACCAGCAAACCGGTTATGCTGAACAATGTTACAGGCAGCATAACATTCTCCACAACTTCTCCAAGCTCTTTCATGTATGTCACATGTGCTCAGGGTGAACCTGCTCTCATCTGTGAAAAGCAATAGATGTGGACCTGCCAATTCAGGTATTCTGTGGCAAATGCTAATCAGACTCCTCTGTGCTAGCAGTGAGCAAAGGGCCCACTAGATGATGTCTGGCCTTCAGATGTCTGTTTCTGATGTCTGGTCAGAGACATCAACACCAGCGGCCTGCTGGAGGTCAGCTCTGGCAGTTCTCTTCCCTCCTTAAACAGAGGAGCAGATACTGCGCCTGCTGATGGAATAACGATCTTGTGCAGGTCTCATAGAGTAGCCTCCTTTCTCCTGGAATGTCCTCCATGCTCGTATGACTTTACTGGCAGACACAGTCTGTATGTCTGTATATGTAGAACATTACATCTGTTATGACATTCATATGCTGGATGACAGTCACTCTGGTTCACTTATTTTTTTTCCCCAATTCAAGGTGAAAGATCTGAATTTGAGCCTGAAAGAAATGAAGTGAAGCAGACAAACACACAGCCGGAAAGGCTACACAGGAGCCATTTTTTCATCTTTGACTATTATTTCCAACTGTTTCCAGTTGTGACTACAGTAATCAAACAGCTAAAGGGCCCCACCACTTGGCCAACAGTGGTCACTGCAATTACAAGGCAAAGACGTTCAAAACTGTTCTCAGAAATGGTGATTTGGTGGCCCCCAGTGGATTCACAATGCTATTACAAGTCTGTATTCTTAAAACGCATCGATCGTAGAACAGAAGCAGCGGGATTTACCAAACATTATTTAATAAATGATTTTGCAATACAAAACATCTGTGCAAAAATATTCAGACAAAATACAAAGCCAAGGCCTCTCTTGATCAATATGCATGTAAACCTGTTATGGGTACACTGACATTGAAATATACATATACTTTTGTTTCTTCTTACCAATAAAAGACAAAAAAAAGGCACTATAATGAATTTTTGCCAAATACAAAAATACCTAAACTTGATTAAGATTCACAGTCTTGTGTACAAGTGGTTTGTGCACTGCTATATTAGTACATAGACTACATAAAAAAAGATGACTGTAGCCACAATGACGGCACCCATTGGTTGAAACCTTCACTTGAGCATTTTCACTTTTATTATTTTATTCTATTAGACTCTGTACACTCATACGGTAGCCATGCCTTATACCATTCTCTGCCTTATTAGCAATTTTGCTGTCAGTGACAGCATCCTTAACAAAATGAGAAACGTCCTGCATTAAATAAGACTTCACTGATGTCAAAAATCAAGTGAGAAGTGGACTGGACTGGAGGAGTCGCCCCCTGTTGGCCATCAGTGCAGACTGCGTTGGCCTTGCTTTTTTAAACCTGGAAGCAAAGTCCAGCTTGTATATACAGTCTATGTTAGTATTCGTACATCATTTACATTGCTGGGGCTCATGGGTAAAGATGCCTAGGTAGCTCACTCTGCTTTAGAAAAATAGAATCACAAAAACACAGAGAGAGGAAAGGCATTTGAAAAATACATCCTCAAATGATTTCAAATAGCATGGAAACAAGAGCACACCCTTCATGTTACTAATAACAGCCAACCAGCTTCACTACTGACTCACTTGAATGCTGAGGAAAACTAAAGAGCAGTAGGATTTATAAAGACAACTGAATTTGATTTTGATGCCATTTTTGCAGCTACTTTTTTCTTGTTGCTACATTTCACATGTCCACTCACTTTACAACTCAGAAATGCACTTTATTCTCTGCATGTCCTCAGTAAAAACAACCCGGATGTGTTATTGCTGTAGTTAAAACATGTACTCAGGAACATTCGCACGATGTTACCCATAGACTGTTGACTTGACACATTACTGCTGGTTTTCTGACTTTTGTTTTGAGGGAATGAAAGAAGCTTCATATTTGGCCTCTCATAAACCCTCGTGGAAGGCTGAGGCATAGTTTGTGCGGCTACGAAACTGAGACTCACCAAACACACACGTCGTCATCCTTCACTGGGAAACAGACAAAACGGTCAGAATTGTTTTTCAGGTTGTACTTTTTCTGTTAAAAGCTGCACGTGCTGAGCTACAGAATCCTGTACATGTTAATACAGTCGCCACTTGGTGTGTTAAAAACAAGTTGCAATAATATCGCAGCACACCTAATTTGCAGTATCCTTATTTAGATAGACAACATTCTTCTGTCTATGTACATGGCTGAGATCTCATAAGCACCTAACTACTATAAGCATTATGCATTTTAACCCTTTTACTTTTATTATTCTTCCATGTTTTGCTTCTTTTGCTTTTTTCTTTTTTTTTTTCTTTTTGCACAATACAGACGTATAAATACAAAGAAGGGAACAGAACAGGACGAGGTATCCAAATTAAATTTTGACTTTCCCATCTCCAAAATGAAATCCGTAAAAACTTTTGGAAAAAACATAAAAGACTGTATCCAATCAATTATGCGGCGAATGAAGTGTTTGCCCTGAGAACGGTGTGGGTTAGCTGTGGAAGGAAGCGAGTGCTTTGTGATGTCTTTTGTTCATCTGCAGAGGGCCCTCTTGCCAGCTCTGAAGTTAGATGCGATGTCTCCGGAGAAACAAAACTGGGGGGAAGGATGATGAAAGAAATGATACTTAAAGGGAGGCCGATCAGATAAACTTCCAGCTTTACTGTGTCCGGTGTTCTTGTTGCAGACGTCTCAGATAGCGTGATGAAGTTGGAAAATAAAAAAAAACAAAAAAAACAAAAACAAAACACACATTCAGCTGTCATTCTCAAAGGGACTTCTTAGCACCTGCATTAGTACTTTCATAGCTGTTGGCAGCATGGGTATTATGCATGCTAACATAAATGTTACTGATTAGTTTATGAGGGTCAAGGAGGCATCATTTATTGGAGCAGGCCACTGTTGATTGTTTTTATAAAGTTACTCGCCGTTTCAATTCGCGCTCCCTTGGATATTTGATTTTTTGTGTTGACAAGCAAGCCAATGAACTAGTTTAGAAAAAAAGGCACCTGAAAGTCATCACATGAATATCCATGTCTGCCTGACATCCTGTAGGAAAAAAGTCCATCGAGTGGGAATTGTTTCGTTTTTTTTTTGTCTGATTGGAACACAAACCGCTGAATAAGGCCACGGGAAGAATGTTTTCACCTTTAAAGTGTTTTACTTAATAAAAAGTTCATTTGAATATATATCTTTGTATTTCATTCATTCATTCAGGACCTATGTACTGTATTTACACAGAGGTTAAAATAACATTTTCAAACCATGATAGTAAGTATGCCTCCTGTAAACAGTAAGGCATGAGTCAGACAGCTGCTTATATAGCCTGCTTAGTGTTTCTTGGATACCCAGATGTGTGGCACGCTCCATCTCTGTTGGGTCTCGGTAAGACCAGAGAAGAACTGTGACGCTGCGCCACTGGCTGAAGCGCTAAACGTCTCATATCTGGGTTCTAAGCTCAAAGAGGTTGAATATTTACAGGTCTGCAGTGATGACTGAGTCGTTATACATCAGCACATCAGAGTCAGGGGTGAGCAGTGCTGACGTCTGAGACACGTGGTCCACCATCCCCTTTTGGGAGATTTGTCCGTACACCTGAGCCGACCCTCCGCCGCTCCCCGGCATGATGCAGTGGGACAGCAGCGGCGTGTTGGCGTCATGGTTGGAGCCCGTAGTGGAGGGCACGCCGCTAACGTGACCCGTGCTGGTGGAGCCGCTAGCGCTGCTGGGGGAGCGGCTTTTGGGAGGGGGCAGGTGGTGCTGGATTACCCTAGTAGGCGGAGCTGGGGGTGCAAAGTGAGCTGGGAATGCTGCGTATCCTGGCGGGATTGGGTATCCGTTGACTGGGATAAAGCGCTGGTGGGTTTGGGTCACGGCCATGGGCGTCCATGCTGGAACTGCACCCATTTGTCCCGGCGCGGGAATAGCCTGGGCTGGGTAGAGGTACCCCGCGGCGGCGGCAGCAGCGGCAGCATAGCGTGGGTTGCTAAGGTTGCTGACGGGGCTGGCGCTGAGCGAGGTGGTCTGAGTGGTGGCGTTGCCTCCTCCAGAGGGCGTGCTGGAGCTGGCGTGGGACGACAACCCCTCCCAAGCTCGCAGGCGGGCGTGAATATCCTTGAAGCGCGGCCGACGTGCTGGTCCTTCCTGCCAGCACTCTGTCATCAGACCATAAAACCTAAAAGCCAACAGAGTTATTTCATTACCACAAACAGCAACAATCAGACTGCTTCTAAAACTATTTGAATTGAATACTCTAAACTAACCCTAATACCAGAGTCCAATAAAGACACTTGCACACTTGGGTTTCACCATTAGCTGGATGCACTATCTTCTTGTATGCTTCTCATATTGCACCGGTAATTGCAACATACCTTGGTGGGCAGTCTTCGGGGCAGGGCAGCAGCTGCCTCTTTCTCACCATCTCCATCACTTCCTGGTTCGAGAAACCATAGTAGGGCTGTAGCCCGTAGCTGAAGACCTCCCACAGCACAACTCCAAACGACCAGATGTCCGAGTCTGTGGTGAACTTTCCCGAAGCGATGGCCTCAGGGGGCATCCAGCGGATGGGCAGCACAATTTTAGGCTGGAGGCAGTAGTAGTCTGAGGAGTAGATCTCTCTGGAGAGACCCAGGTCAGAAATCTTGACGTGGAGCTGCTCGCCTACCAAAATGTTCCGAGCTGCGAGGTCCTTGTGAACGTAGAAGTGGCTGGCCAAGTACTCCATCCCAGCAGCCACCTGGTTCACAATATTTAGAAGGTGTTTGAAGGAGCAGTGAAAGGTAGACATTAAAACACTGATTTTAATTCAAAGTTTCTACATGAGCGATTGAGATCCGTACATCAACATTTCGTGTAAATGGTTCGTGTTTAAATGGAAGGCACAACAGTACTTCTTCCACTACGCTTGTAGCCAACGACGAGGATGTTTTTAGATCATACCTGTATGGCCATATGCAGAAAATCTCCATGATCCAGGCTGGATTTCACCGTGCCGTCCTCGTCGCTGCTACAGCCGACGTCTGAGTGTGGCGAACGCATGATGAGGAACTCGTGGAGGTCACCTTGGGGCAGAAACTCAAACAGCATGCAGACCGGCTGCTCCTGGGTAACCACACCCACCAGGCACACCAAGTTGGGGTGCTGAAGCTCGGTCAGCACTGCGGCCTCCTTTGATGAAGTCGGATAAATAATGGTGAATTTCAAAGAAACAAACAAACAAAAAAAAGGTGGCCGGCAGGTTGATTTCAAAATTTACTGGAAAAGTGGATATTTACAAAAGACGTGGGAGTTTAATGGAGGAACTGAGTCTGAAACTGTGTGGCTTTGAAAGGTGATTATAAGAAGATCACCCAAGCTGATTTCACAAAACTCATTGATCACTTTTGAAATTGAGTCGATGGCAGTACCACTTTAAAACGTGGGCACAGTTCAGGTCTGCCTCGCTTTCTGTAAATGGAAAGTGAGGATTACGTCTTACACATGCCGACTGCCTCAATCCGCCGTCACATCTAAATTTATCTGGACAACCTTCCACCAAGTTACAGTTTATTTTGGGAGCTATTTCCAGAGAACTCATCTACAGTTGAGCGGTTCAGCCGTCTCCAATCTTTCACCGCGTCTACCTTCTATAGACATACAACAAGCCGTGCTTGAAATCTTGTGGGCCTAGATGCCTTTCCTCTAAGAAAGCAGCCACATGTAGTTTTTAGCAATAGGATATTTTAGTGGTACATTTTATTTTCCAACTCTACACAAAGACGACTGATGTGGCTTCATTATTGTGTATATATATATATATATTTTTTTATGTCTGTTGTAAAAACGGTTAATTTAGAAACATTTCTTACTTGCTGGAAGTCAGCCCACTGCTGGGCATTGGAAATGTCTTTGAGGGTCTTTATGGCCACAAGCTGGGCCTGGTCCATGCCCGGCAGATACAGATGACCTTTGTAGATCTTCCCTAGAGTACATTCTCCGAGCTCCTCCATGAAACGGACAGCTGATAAGGGAAGCTCCTTGGCCTTGCTCTACAGAAAGAAGAAGGAGGAAAAAAATGGTAAGGTGACATCAATAGGTTGAAAACACATTCAACAAAAATGAAATCATTACTTTCTTTGTCAGGTCAGCAGCCTTTCATCACCGCTGTCCTTGTAGGGAAAAGAAAACATGATGTCGCTGCTTTCAATCTGATGTAGGCAAACTGCCTAATATAACACCAAATCTGTGTTTGAATTGTAGAAGAAAAATAAAACTATAGCTCAGAGCTGATAATTCCCGCAATCAGACTCGGCCCATTACATCAGCCCCCTAATCGCCCCCTTCACGCCTCTGGAAAGCGATGTGGGAAAATTGCAAAATCTGGCAACATGTCGCAGCTTAAAAATGTCATGTGGCTGACAGGTTAAGCAAAATTTGGGAAGATGAGGCAATTAATTCTCTTGCCAGTAAACCATAGAATCAGCTGCAACAATAGCAGAAAACAACGTAGCGCTCCCTGTGAGGGATGACTTTGCTTTTTCATCTTTTGGAACTCACTGAGGAGTGCTCTGACTGGAATGCTGGGTTACAGCACATCTAAATCCAACAGGAATGAGCTGGGCTGTGGGGTTAGGAGAAGGTCAGGCACGTTTTGGAATTCATTTAAAGTAAATTGCAGTCAATTAAACTCATTTCCTCATTAAGATAAAGAAAACGAATGATTCAAATGGAGAAAATGCAGTTCAGCAGTTCCCCACAAACACCACAGCAGATACACTGTGTAAATGCCATCTGTTAGAAATTAGTCACCTTAATAAGTATATTTAGTGTCAGATTTCTGTGTAAAATAGTTGAGAGGAAAGCAGATCACTTGTTTAAGAATTCATGAGGATTGTTCATCAGATGCCCCCCCACCTTACCATCTCTCAAAAAAACCCTGAAATCCAGGGAAAATGGCCTTCTTCAAAGGAAAGTTTATAAGAATTTATTTTTTATATTTTATGAGTGATTATTTTTTTATTTTTTAGGGGGCAAAGTCTGTGAGCTACACTTCTGAAAGTGTGAGCACAGACTTTCGAACTTCAGCTCAAGTTAATCCAATTTGGATGTCCGATCTCTACCAGCAGCTTGGGAGGCCTGTAGAGGAGATGGGACCCACATTTTGTTTACAGCTTCACATGTGCAAAGCACGTAATAGACTTTAAAATGGAGCAAATCAGCTGAACACTTCACAGATATTAAAGCCTGATTATGGGGGAAAAACACATTTTCATCCATCTTCAGTGTGATAAGTCCCAGGTATGATGCCATAACGTTTTTTGAGTCTCTTATCCAAAATTTGTGACGGTATTTTCATTTCTCAGTATGAATTTTTTCTTTCTTTATTTTTTTTACATAACGTCTTATTTAGGGATGCACCGATACCGATACTGGTATCGGGTATCGGGGCCGTACTGTAAAATGTGTGTGTACTCATACTCCGTTAACCGCTACCATGAACCGATACTAACTTATTTCATTAATCAGGGGTGGCTTGTCATTTCTGTTGTAGTTTTTTAGATTGGCCACTAGGGGGACATCCCGCACTAAACAGGCACAGGGTTAGGTGAGTGAGACTGTGAGCTCCAGATAAAAAAGAGAAACTGGAGGCTGCTGTAGCTAGGCTAAACAAAATGTCAGCAGTGTGGAACAGCCAACTTTAACTCAGGTTTTGGAAAAGCGATGAAAAATGTCAAGAGAAAATCCACGGGCAGTTAAAATAACAGAGGCTCTGACTCATTTTATCGCTCTGGATGACCAGCCACTGCCGGTCGTGGAAAATCAGGGAGAAAATGGTGCCAAAACTTTCTGAAGAGGTAAAGACAAGCAGTGTGTGCGCGATGTCAGTTCTTGGTTTAACGGCACAGTGGACCGATGATCCACGGGCAGATGAGGAGTTTGTTCGTCAATGCCGAATACTTAAGTTATTTTGTTTGTTTGTTTACATTATGGACACTCTGCAATGTTTATTTTATTCTCAAACCTAATTTGTATTTATTTTATTCCAAACAGAAGTGTTTATTTATTATTCTGAAAGCTCGAGACAGTGACAATAGTTCAGTGATATTTTGTTAAATTACATTGTGGAGACTCTGCAATAATTTAACAGAAGTGCTTATTTTTCACTTGAAATTTTTTTGTGGTCATTTTTATTAAGATTTTATTTTTTATCGGCAGAGAATAAAATAAAACCTGTCTTCCAATTCATTGTATTTGTGTGTGTGTGTGTGGTAGAAGTATCGGTTTTTGTACTCTGTATCGGCAAGTACTCAGATCCAAGTATCGGTATCGTATCGGTTTGAAAAAATTGGTATCGTTGCATCCCTAGTCTTATTACAATGTGTTTCTTTCCCCTGATTTTTTCTTCAGGCAAATCTGTGATGTCAGGTTTCTGTGTGTGTCTTCGTTTTTTTTATTGTCATCATTAAGATTAGTCTTCTTTGCAACCAGAGCATGACCACGGTTGATAATCATACCGACCAATCTCATTAGAACAGCACCAACAGATGACGGTGGGGATGTTGGGGACTGAATATTTTTTATATAAAGTCGATGGTGCCAAACTGCCACTCGTGTCTATGCTTGGGAAGAGATAAAAGGTGCAGAAAGGTTGGCAGAGATTTCCAGATTCCAGGAACTTTGAGATGAATAATGAAATTCCTCTGTGAGGACACATGCGCTCACACACTCACACATGCACACTGTCTAATACGAGTTCTGAGGGGGGTGGTGAGAGTGTGTGTTGTGCATGATGTGAGACACAGATGTTTTTAGTTATGGGTTTTTTCCCCCTGTCTTTCCTCCCCACACCCAAACCCTCAGATCCTCCTCGCACCACCACAGATTTCTATGTGTGTGTCTAAATGGGCTGTCATAGGCAGTAACCCTTGGGTGACCCCCTGCATGCAAAGCCTGTTAGGTAGCAGCTTAATCCAAGACAAAGCTGCAGATAATGAAAACAGGAAAGAAAGACATTTGACTTAGTAAAACGTCTAAAAGTCAGAATATTTAGCCCATATAAAAACGTTTTTAAAAGACAGAAATCACACAGCCGCTCCCTTTTATTACAATTTTCTTGTAGATCTGTAAAATTTAGCTACAAGGTTGAATGGACGCATGAGGGCGGGGCTTTGGTAATCTTTCAGCTGATGGTTATGCAGTCTGCTATATTTCAGAACCAAGTTGGCAACAAAGACCATTTAAAATCAACTGTATAATCCCATGACTGCACGGCTGTCACTCTCCTGTAAACGTAAGTCTTTGCAGACACAAGGTCTTCATGTAAACAGCAAGGAGAGACTCCCTTTTTAGGTCAGTGAAACATTTATTCCAGTCCCCCTCCCAAAAAACCCTCAGAAACAAAATAAAGCAAAGATATTAATGGATTCTGACGCTTCTGTGACATCTGCGATTCTCTCCGCGGCTCTTCGCTGTAATACTATACGCCTTACCTTGAGCATCAGCTCAAGTGTGCCCAGCAATACATGCTGTCTAGATAAACCCCCAACCCTCCGCCCTCAACCACCAAAATTATGTGGAAAAAAAGATGTGCTTACATGATATGACAGAGTGTGCAACCTTGAAGGCAACATGATACTCATGCTGATGTGAGCTGTGTGTTTTACTGGGAGACCATGATATACATTACAAAAAAGAAAAAAGCTCCAGTGGGATTAGGATGGACAGAAGCATAGCAATGCAAAAAAAGATGGATTAAGTGAGAGGAGCAAGGATAAGGAGAAGTGTAAGGGAAGGGTGCGGAAAAAGAGACAGTGAGAGATAAACAGGAGGGAGGTGGTGGGCTGCAGTTGAACATTCCTGAACCTGCTGAGCTCTGATGACAGATCTGATGCTTTGTCTGAGACAGGTCGTTTCTACACACACTCAAGCCAGTAACCCCGGCATGCCGTGACATATCCCTAATGACACACAGAGGGCTGTGCCAGTGTTTTGACTCCTTCTGCAGTCTGTTTGCATGCCAAATGACGGCCTCTTTACAGTCATTACACAACAGCGTGATGATGCACTTAGTGTCCACTTCAAAATCGTGAAGGCCACTTCCCCTACCAGTGGTAGACGCCCTCAGACATTGGTGCATTGGTGGGTCTTTGTGTCCGGGGGTGGGCGCCCAGGTACACACCGGGGCTTGCTCGGGCCACTTCGGGGGTGGGGTGCCCTCGGCCTCTCGGCCTGGGGCTCGGTCACTCTGGCGCATTGCAACCCCCCCCTGGCTTCTGCTCCGCGGCTGCTAAGTGACCCCTCATCTGGGACTCTCCTCAGCTCTTTCTGGGATAGTGGCGCAGCTGCCCCTCTGTTGGTCTTCCTTGGTCTCTTGTGTTCTGGGGGCCTCTGGATGTCTGGAGTCTTGATCTCCTCCATACCTGCTTCATGCCCTGGTGGACGGGGCTGTGCCCCCCCTCCAAACCCTCTAGCAGATCATTACATGAAGGAACCTTTTAAATACAAGCGCGTCCATGCTCACAGGTGTACACACGGGTGCTCACACACACAAACGACACCCTTTTTGGCTCCTACCTCAAAGCACACTGTGCGCTGTCGATCTTACGTGCTGCACAATAATGTTTAATATTTAGTATTTACTGTTATATTCCCATATATCATTGTGATGTTGTTTATTGTGTTGCTCTCGTTTTCTTCTGCTTGTTTTCTTTTTTCTTTCTCAACAGGTGATCCAGGTGATTGATATATGTATTTTTTTTGTCTGCTTATTTAGTTGGTTTTTGTTTTTTTGCCCTTTATCACCGTCCCTCTTCTCTGCTGTTTTTTTTCCCCCTCTTCCTTTCTCCCTTTTCTTTTCCTCATTCAAGTCTGTCCCGTATCTAGCAAGTGAAAATAAAAAAATATATAAATAAATAAACAATAAAAGGTGAATCAAATAGACCATTATGGCAAGGCTGGGATGGTCAATTTGGTAAAGTAAATCCGTTGGGCATCTTTCCTCGCCTTTAGACAAAAAGTGTTCTATATCTGCAGAAATAAACGGTAATCTGCAGGATTACCAGGAAGGCCCTCCGTCATTTATTCCCCACCCTGAGTGCCATCTGCTGCGACTGTAACGCTCCCTACCTTAGGCTTGTATGGAGTCGCGAGCATGGACATCTCAACGTTCTGGCCGCGGACGGGTTTGGGTTGGCGCGTCACGGGAGGCCTGGAGGACTTCTGGTTGTTGCGGCACACGCAGATGAAGAAGAAGAGCAACGCAATGGCTAAGGGGATTACCACGCTGGGAACCAGGATGTACAGGATCTCAATGCCAGACTCCTTATGGTCTACACAGATGGAACATCGAGAGAGGGGAATCAATGTCATTTCACACGTCACACATGTGTCACAAAGGCAACATCGCAAACTACGATTTAAAACTAGCGTCTCACCACAGAGGGGTATGTCGCAGAGCTCCATTCTGACCCCCTCATCTAGTGTGAAGCACCAGGGGGCCTCGTGTTTGTTCCCTGGGTTGCGGCAGTACGAGTGGCCTCCGTTAAGCTCCGGGTAGCGCACAGCCTGGTAGTTGTGGCTGTGAGGATACTGGGAGTTCCACGGCTGACACTGACGCCCTGACTTGGTTATGCTTACCGTCCCTCTGTAGTCTACCCCACTGTTGTTATAACATTTGTGATCTGGTGGAATATAACAGACAATGACGTTTTAGCAGAGTCAACACAGTAAATCATTACAATTGCCACATGAACATGTCTCACTCTTGTTAATAGGCTCTGTCATAGGGATCCCGATCCTCAGACAGTTGGCGGCCTCGGGGCTGTCGGAAGCAGCCAGGTCATCGCAGTTTGGCAGTTTCAGTCTCTTCAGTATTATCGGGTTGGAGCGGGCGATGATGTACTCGGTTTTACACAAGTCGTTCTCCAGGATCTCGCATTCGTCCTTACAGAGGTCACGGGGTTTGTCGGACCCCGAGCTGCGGTCGCACGTCGGGAAGGCAAAGTGGCAGAGGGAAGGGATGGCGAACTGCGAGCAGCGGTCAGACAAATGGTTGGACGTCCCGATCATGGTGAAGGCCGCTGGGAACGAGAGGATTCAATTTCAGTTGCTTGAAAGTTGCTAAATAACGAAGAATTAGGAGACTGAATAAAAACAGAGAATTTCATACTTTAATTGACTCGCGCACAGCGATGCTGTTCACTTATTGCAAACGTGTGCATTGCTGCGGCTGTCATTATCACTACGGCGACTACGATGAAGAGGAGACGCGAATAAAAAGCGTCCAAGTGAACCTGACAACCATCCAAATGTTTCTCCAGCACATGTTGCTTGAGTAAAAAGGATCATAAAGATCAGTGAGTGTGACATTAAATTCAAGATGCTGAATCTGGACTCTGATATGATTTACAGTCCTACTGTTGGCCTGTTACGACTCTGTGGCGCCATAAATCTCAATTATCACTCGTCCTTGATGTTTCCGATCAGGCTCTGGATTCATGGCCTGCGTCATTCCCTGAACTGTTGCACGGATATAATCAATAATGACCTCTGAGGACAAACGCACGCATACGCATAAAACAAAAAGCACACACGCTGAGACACAGACGTGAAACAACGCTGGAAACAGTGTGTCAGCCACATGTGATTCATACTGAGTCAAACTCCCTTTGAACTCTCTAAGTGACGTTCTGATTCCTTCCTGGAGCATATTAATTATGATTACCTTCTGAAAAATCTGAATTTACACAAAGTTTTTATTGAATTACTACATTTTTTTTATTTTTAGCAGCAAATTATGTCTCTAAAAGACATAAATGATGTCTCTAAAAGAAATAATTTGCTCCCATTTAATTAAATCTACCAAAAATGCAGGTGTCATCTGCCATCAAGAGCAAGGACAGAAGAAGAAGCGGCACGTATTCCAATTTTTCAAACAAAGCATAAAGAAATGACTTTTGGCTCAAGACTTTTGCACAGTACTGTATGCCCTTTGGTCATTGATTGTGTTCAGTTTTCTTTCTTGCATCTGCAGGAACTAAATATTTAGTAACATGGAATCATCTTCATCAAGTTAAGCCTGTACACACTAAGAAAAATCAGTGTATTTTAAATCGTTTGTCATGAATGAATATGTATTTATGATGGATGTAAAAGTAAATTTAATCTATTCTCAAAACATTAATTCGATTTGTGTTGGCTCGAAGGAGGTTTAGCCCGCTCAAACTCACCTGTGATCTGGGTCTCAATCTCCCCCTGCATCTGCAGCGAGTCGACAAAAATGCTGCGGTTGCCGATGAAGCGGGCGCAGGCTATGCCTCTGTACGGCTGGCAGAATCCATCTTCAGGAAACCCGTTGCTGAGAGGTCAGAGAGGCGAGAAAGAGAGGCTGCTTTTAAAGTTCGTCTGAACAACACGAATCAATTTCATCGACTCTTTCACAGGAAAACCACTAGAGGTCAGTCTACATTAGCATATCCCACAAGACCAACCAGTTCCACTTCTGTGGAGGGAAAGGCTGCTCCTTGGTTCCTTTGCTTGGCTACAGATCAGGTAAACTCAAAGGCACATATCTAATACACATAAATGTCCCTATTCACGGTAAACTGCTTTAAGAATTAATATCTCATGTCGGACTTTATTCGTGTTGCGTCAGAGAGTCGTCACTCTGAGCCACAATTTAAAACATATGAAAGGAGAAAGAGAGCAACCTTGTTTTTACAGCTATACAACTCCACTCAGTGAGCTTCTTTTGGGGCATTTCTTTTAATTTCCTCGTTAATGTAACGATTCTTATCCCGCTTAACACAGTCATCACCATCCTCTCCCCTTTCTGTCTCACTCTCTGTGCTTTTTTATTCTTTCTCCATACACACATGCACACTAACACACACACACACACACACACAAAGCCCACACTCACCGGCAGACCACTCGCTCAGTGTGAGATCACTTTGTCATGCGCTTTAAGTCATACCATATGGGACGTTAAGACCAGGCACAACCGCAATATGTGGTATAGGCGCGTCCATGATGCCACTGCATATATGAAGTATATCCTCATGGTGCAGACCTGCTGCCTGAGTAATGGCGAACAGAAGCAGCTAGACTATGACATTTTTAATATATTTAACTTAAAGTGCAGCCAATCACAGCTAAGACACAGGCCTCAGCTGTGATTGGCTGAACAATAACACCATCAAACATTTCGACTCTGATAGGTAAGGTGGCCCCGAGAGGTCGATCAGACCGCAGCTTATGAAAACACCAGCAAATAGAAAAATGCTGAAAAAGCACACAAAATAAAACTGAATAAAAAACTCAATAGAAATAGAAAAACGTTGCTAATAATCACAAAACAACACACAAATGTTTTTGGGGAGACAATAATGTGACGGAAGAGTTGCACAAATGACAAGCCAACAGTAGATGGCCAATAGCAAACTACCTACAGTATTATATGAAGTGTGCAATTAAAACAACAATATACACATAACACTGATGAATCCTCAACTGCTTTTAATGACGCCTCCGTATTTTTTGATTTCTGTCTGTTCTGTGGCTGGTCCGTCACATTATTGTGTCCCCAGAAACATTTCTGGATTTTGTTTTTTCTACTTCTGTGTTTTATTCAACTCCCGTTGTGTTTTCTGTGCTTTGGCTGCATTTTTCTATTTACTTAGTGTTTCCTTAACTTGCAGTCTGTTTGACCTTTCAGGGCCACCATATATGGGGGTTTAAAAAACACTATTGTGTAGCAGCCTAGTGAGAATTTAACTGCTTCTCTACTTCTTTTGCACATCATTCTTTTATTACAGCTTCACAGAAACGTCACTTTTGCTAATGAGAGTTGGATGGTTTACAAGAGATGGTACAAAGTGCGAAAAGCACTAATTTTACTCCACAAGCTGTAAAAATCGCACACACATCCCCCCATCCTGGTTTGGTGTGAGTGTGAGGTCAGTAGGTTACCTCTCTCTGTGGAGTGTTAAGTGACTGAAGGGCCAAGGTCAGTTAACCCCCTTTCCCTGTCTGTGCAGATCTTAAATGGGCTTTCCAGACATGGACACACACACACACACTCACACACACACTAACAGACATGACTACCAGGGCAGCGGTCTGCATACTGCCGATTCCTCAGAGATAGGGTAACTTTACAACATAATGCAAGTTTAAACAGATTTTATCCCCGGAATATGTAATTTCCTACTAAAATATGCGGTAATAATGACTTCATGCTTAGCACCCCTTTAACAAGCCGTAAATGCACAAACTGATACTCCTTTGGATGTTTTTCACCCTTTTGGGGAAGAGCTGCCTGTGTTTAGGTGAAAGCAATAAAGGGAGTGTCTGGTAATTGTAAGCAGTGATAATTGAATAATTTGAGAGACTTACAATTGGTTAGGTTCCTGCCATTTTTGAACGTAATAAAGCGGAACATAAAAAAAGGTAGCTCTGGCATGAGAAAACATACACAAACGGGATAAAGAACGAGGGCTGGAGTGTGTCCAGGCAACCCAGAGGTTAGTTTGGTTGTGCGTCACAGAGAACGGTGGACACAAACATCCACACTAGCATGAAGCCACACACAGACAAGCAAATGACAAGGGAGAGGAGACGATCCACCGCAGTGCAGCCAGATCCCCGCGGGCAAATTATAACTACTGCAAGTCAGAACGCCCTAAACCAAAGCGGCACAGCTCGAATCCCAAGTCGCCCTCACTGGGCTTCCTGTATTTTAGCTTCTTTCACTGGTTTCCAAATCAACGTAGCTTCCAAGACCATGTCTAAGAAGATGATTAAAGCATCTCATCTGGTAGGGAAGGAATGGAGCATGTTCGAAGAGCGATAGACACATCTACGAAAACCTAATCACTGTGAGACATCTGAGGTTTTCCGAAAACCTCTCTCGGTGTTTTCGTGTCCATTTATTTTCTCATGTGTTTGTGTGTGTCAGTGTAAGCTATCCAGAGCAGGGGAAAGCCAAGCGCGGTTGCTATTTGTGTAAACAGTGAATAACTGTTCAGGCCTTTGATTTTACACACTAACGCCACGGGCCCTCTGTATAATGTTTTATAACAGTTAATTACAAAGGGAGCCTTCTCCGTTCCAGACTCGATCTATAATCCAGATATAAACAGAAAGACGAGCCTCACCACAGAGCCTAAACAAGGTGCTCAAGACACTGATGCATTGTCCAATTACATTTTTTCCGACCTCATTATTTATTCAGGGAAGAGCTTGCTGAGCAGCCATGGTCTTTTTCCACCCAACACCCAGGTTAACATCCACAGTATTAAATAGAGACTAGTATTTACCACACCTGTGTGCTAAATACATTTGCACAATAGGTGTGTAGAAAAGATATAGAGTTCAACTCATGCGATTTATATGTGATTCAAATATTTATTTACTTTTTTCATGCTCGAAATAAATAAATAGGGAGATGGATATAAATGGAACATCTAGCTCATGTGAGCTACATGAAGCAACCCTGAATTGGACAAATGGAGGACGTTGGTTGGATGGATGGTTGTTGAAGAATGAAAGTACAAAAGTACAAAAACACCTGCGTACATGTTGTTATTACCTGGTTGGACCCCATTATAACCGTCCTTTCAAAACAGCTTTAATTCTTGGTGGCACAGATTCAGCGAGGTGCTGAAAAAATCCCCTGAGATTTTATCCATACTGGCGTGAGAGCATGAAGCAGTTGGTGCAGATTTTGCTCCCCTTCTACCGCATGCCAAATTGGACTGAGATCTGACAGTGTTGTGTGTCAAAATCCCAGTATATCAGCAGTTTCAGCACATCTAGCACCAACAACCATGCCACAAGTCTTCGTTCAGCTTTCTTTTCCATTCCGATGCTTGGTTTGAATTTCTGCAGCTCATCTTGACCATGTCTGCATGGATAAGGGTTACTGTCATGTCATTAGCTGATTAGTTATTTGTTAATGACCGGTTGAGCAAGTGTACCTAATAAAGCGGGAGTTGAATTTTATATAAATTTGAAAGCATCCAATAAGAGAACAAGACTGATCCTATCCATACTAACTATTTTGGCACTGTTATAAAAACCAAGCTAACACTGCTTTATGTTTTCAGGACGTCTCACTCAAAATCCCAAATGTAAATCCACACGGTGGTGCTAGGAGATTGTCAAATACATAATCTAACATCTGCATATTATTGCATGGTAATCCATCTAATAGGTGTTGAGATGTTTTAATTTGAACCAATGTGGTAAACCATTCCTCAGACTCAAACAGCAGCTCTGGAGTCATTCTGCAAACTAAAATTACGATTGTATCCTCATATGATCAGAAAGTATGACTGTACAAACACTACAAGGAAAAGAACATTGGGCATATTTACAATATTGTGTCTTGAGCCACTTCAAATTTCTTTATGTTTTGCTAGCAAAATTGGAAATAGGTGCAGGGATATATTCAAACATGTGCAAACCTACATGGAAATAAAGTATAGAAAGCAAAAACAGAGTTTGTACAATTGTAGTGTGAGAGTCAATATTTGGTATTTGGCCACCTTTATTTTTCCTCACTGCCTGAATTCCCTTTGGCATCTTTCTTATAATTTCTTTAAGTAGTCTTCAGGAATAGTTTTCCTTGAAGGCCATTTAAGCTTTTTGTTTTATGTTGCTTCAACTAAATAAATGGGAACAATTGCTACAGGCTGCTAGCCCAAAGTTGCAATTTCAAATTGGTACCTTGCTAAGTTTTCGATTATGTTTTGACACAACACTGATTCATCATTTGAGTAAGGTGCCTTTTTATGCTTGAACAAGCCATAGGTCAGCAGTCAGTTGCTTGAACTGGTCAGGTGCACGGACTTCATTGTGAAAAAGCACCGAGAATCGTTGCTCAAGACCACTTTAATAAACATCACAAGAAAGTCTGGCTCCTAGAAGCAAATTCTAAAGAAATTAGGAGCGGCTCGAAACCTTTGCACTGTACATTTTCAGTTTTTCATAGGCAGAAACACACGTGCTTGGACAATGAAACATATGAACCACAAACTGATGATAGGATGGAGTGGGCTCGTTTTGATGTCTTCTCTCTGATCTGTTGACTAATACTGTGTCAGAACATCAGTACAATGACACAGACACGTTCCGGGATTTAAGGGCTGTGGTTTAACACAAACATAGAATTATCAGGAAAGGGAGAGTTTTCAGTTAAGGAAGAATGTTAAAAATGTTGAGTCAACTCTGAATATCTCTAATAAGTTGTTCAATCTGGCAAAACAGCTGGATTTTTTAAATCATATTCATCAAAACATCCAAAGTTCTCAGTATTTCCACAGATCCCGCAAACTCTCCCAGTTCCACTTTCCA